CTTAAAAATCCATAAGTGGGACTCCCTTTATAGAAGCTTTGAACTGAATTTACACTTCTTAATGCTGAAATTGATAGTTTATCTATACATTTTGAGAAAATAGGTATGTCAAAGAAGATGTTAAGCCAAATGTTGCCTTGATAGCTATGAAAAAGTAAAAGAATTTGATTTTTTCTCTAGTAGGCCTTGTTGCCCCTTTAATAATATTTCTATGCGTATTGTGTGGAATTGTGTTGACGTTTACTTCAGTTAAGTGCATTATATTTGATAAATAAGTATCTGAAAATTTGATTTGAGTACTTTTACATTAAGCCCCAATCACGCAAATCCCTTGAATGTCCTGCGACATCCCACAAATTTAGGTGGATGTTTCGCCGCAGTCCTGCAAATTTAGGGCACTTTGTCTAAAAAGATTTGCCCCTCTATGAAGTCTTTGGTGGTTACCCTGTTAACTGTCCCGCAATAAGCGTGTTTGTCCCTCGAATGGTCCCGCGATATCCCGCGAATTTGATCGAAATTACTACAGTACTGTATGCTGTCACATTTGTTGTTATTCTTTCTTATTTGGATATTTTTTCTTGCATACGATGGTCGTACACACTAGCCGGTTCTAGACACATGGTTTTAAAATCTGTTTACCTTGTATATATATATTGTATTATCCCTTGCCAGGACTATAGTTACTATTTTTTTCATGGCCTGAGTTCGTCGCTAACATGCTAAATATAAGAGTTAGGTGACGTTTGGGAGTCTGACTTACCTTCTCAAGGTTAGGACCCGAATCTTAATGAAACCATATCACCTTTGTTCCGTCAACCATGGAGCATTTGCCACAACATCCAAGAGGTAAATCATGGACCGTGATTTCCTTGTAAGTTCCGGAAGTTTCAATACGAAAAATTACCGAACATATGTGAAAACCGAATATTTGTTCGTTGTTTTCACGATTTACAGGTTCGTTTGTTCTCCAATGTTTTGGTCTAAATTATAAAGCATCACCAACAGGTCTTACTCTATTAATCGACTAATACAGCAGATGGCTCATATTTCTACCTAGCATTTCGTTCAGACCAATAGTGGGAGTGCAGATCACGCAGTTTCGTTCGTTGCGTACTTCACTTGAAATTGGTAATTTTAAATATTGGCTACTTCACTTAGCTTGGCGGATGTAGAACATTGCTTAATATTCTTTTAATTTTCACACCAGACATGCTTGGTTGACATGTCAACAAAGTAAAGTTCAAGGGTCAATGTGTTATTTCGTGATAACTACAATGCCTTCCCGGAAGTCAAAATTAATGAAAAAGTCGGAAAAGCATTTACACTAATTTCTATCAAATGCTGTGTTTATGCATCATCAATGACGCAACAAAGGTGATATGGTTTCATTAAGATTCGGGTTCTAACCTTTAGAAGGTAAGTCAGTCTCCCAAACGTCAGCTAACTCTTATATTTAGCATGTTAGCGACGAACTCGGGCCATGAAAAAAATAGTAGTCTATATCCATTAAACTGAATTTTCATGAGAATTCAGTCTATTGATCATTATGTCCCTCCTGTGGGAAAAAACAGGAAATTGTCTGCACACAATTATAGGAATCTTCACTCCCCAAAAATAAGCATTATGACAATTCAATTAAGTAGTAAGGTACAATTAAATGCTATAAAAAGTAACACAGCATATTGTCAAATGGAAATAAAGCTAGGGGAAGTAACAAATATGCAAATTAATTTACCCAGTCGGCCATTTTGAATGGCACTTCCTATGTAAACAAATAATTTTCAATCCCAAATTTTAACATATAAGAATGCTAAAATACCAAGGAATCTATTGAAGTAGGAACCTTAAGTGTAAGAAGCATAGAAAATTCTCCCATGTTGTAATCGTACAGGCAAAAGATTGAGACATTCTCAGTACTATAGTCCTAGACTATATCCTCTAGTCTGAATTTTTTTTGAAATTTGGAATGAAAATATTCAGACAATAGCCCACATATGTTAAAATTATTTTTTGTTTACATAGGAAGTGCCATTCAAAATGGCCGATTGGGTAGATTAATTTGCATATTTATTACTTCCCCTAACTTTATTTCCATTTGACAATAGGCTTTGTTACTTTTTAAAGCATTTAATTGTACCTTACTACTTAATTGAATTGTAGCAATGGTTATTTGGAAGTGAAGTTTCCTAAAATTGATAATCGTGTGCATAGTCCTAGAAAGAGACCCAGAAAGACATTAAATTTTCAGATTTCTTCTCTGGCTAAAATTAATGAGGTTGTCACCTTATCTTAAACTGTTGCTCCTTAATTACTTTGAATCAAGCCTACTACTGTGTATGAGAAGTGTGTATAGAAGCTTTCAATCTCTAAGCATGATCCTCAACTTTAACTTTCCATTTTAACCATCTGAGAAGTTGATGATTTTCAATCCAAGATTTGGTGGCAAAGTGGTTAAATCATTAGATTTTTACACAGAGACATGTAGCACTATGATATGAGATGAGCACTATGATAGGCCCTGTAGTATAAGTAAAGCCCCATATCAGTCATCATAAACAATACCATATAAGGTGCTACAAGATCCTGTGGATTTTTGTTATTGCTGACCACACTACTATTACTATTATTATCATTATCTGAAATGAGTTCAAATAAAGAAGATCTGGGAACTCTGGGAGCTTGTTCTAATATGGATGGGGGGGGGGGGTCTTGCAAGACTTTCATATTATATTGCATCATAACATTTGTATTTTATCATATATCTATGCTATTAATATCAGAAGGGAGGGGTCATTCTGAATTTTGTTAATTTTGGAAATGATTTTAAATATAATACTCTTTTAAGATACACTTATATTTAGCCAAAAGTGTCCTATGAACTGATAATACTCGGACTGATATTGCTGAGTTTAATACTACAGTATACTCCAACTAATGTTTGATGCTATTATATTTCACTTTTTTTGCAATTTCGAAATTTTGCGGGTATGAATATTCACTAATTCTCAGTTTTCAAAATTTTGCGGCTATTTTTTGTGGATTTGTGACTTCTCAAATTTTTTCCCGTTTTTTGAATCTGTATACATTCAACATATGTATCAACTCATATTTTTAATGACTAGGAATATATATGTGACTTGTAAAGCCGGAAGTACTTTAGCCAGATAACGTTTATTTCACATCACGACAAAGAAAGGTGTAAAATATGCTAACATCGATTAAAACATCTTAACGACGTGTGGTATTCGGGAACTATCGGGGCAAACGAAGGCAGTAAGCAAGATAGGTAACTATGACTGCATTGACTGTCTGTCATCTCTAAGCTCGGAGTTTTTCCCTTCCTTTGGGTAAGTAAGAAGGGACTTCCGGCCAAAAAACGATACGACTGATATTCATTTTATGTATCGATACAGCTCGTATCGGAGGTGAATTGCTCGAGCGCTAGCCCTAGTTGTAACGGCTCGTTGCCCCTTGGGGGAGCTGAAGTGTAACAAGTCAGATACAAACATCAAAGGGAGAGTGCCATTCCCATTCGGGAATTGAAACCAGGACTTACTAGTTCAGAGTCTGATGGGCTACGGACAAGACGTCAACACAGCTGAACTGAAGTAGCAGCTTGAGATCCCACTTCTGACATCAACCTGTGGGCACGACCCATGGGCTGTAACAACCCTTGGGCACTCGTCCGGGAGCTGTAGTGTAACAAGCCAAATACAGATCTGAAAGGGAGTGTGCTAAATTTATTGCTCTGTACAGTAATTGAACCCAGGACATTCTGATCCAGAGTTTGATGCTCTACCTCTGAGCCTTCCAGTTCAAAGTCTGATGCTTTATGGCCTAGTCACATAGCCCGGCCGATGTCCGGCATCGGTAGAGCTTGGTGGATTTTTTTGGTGCCACCGAGCTCTCCTCATCGGAAGCAGAGCTCGGTGACGTGAACGGACTCCGTCCGGACATCTTCAGGTACTATACTTTCCAAGGCTCTGTCCCACATCGGCCGGAGCTCGGTCGGAGCTCGGCCGGTGTCCGTTAAAAAAACCTCGTCCTCTGGTTGTCTCAGATGCACGGGACACCGACCGATACTCGGCCGTGCACCGGCCGACGTGTGTTCTGATGTGGTTACGATGGGGCTGCGATGAGGGAGCTCGGTGAGAGCCCGGTGAAATTTAACTCCGAAGTTAAAATTTCACCGAGCTGCCACCGATGCGGTTTTAAGCAACAAACGCCACGGATGTCCGGCCGGTGTCCGGCCGGTGTTCGGCCGAGTTCGGTGAAAATTGCATCGCTGGCTCATCGGAACCTCATCGGCCGGGCTATGTGACTAGGCCATTATGGACTGAGCTATCAAGACTTAAGTCAACACAGCTTAGCTGTAGTAGCAACTTGGTATTTGGTCATTACAGGGTATTAAATTATTAAAAATCTAACATTGAATTGATGTCGAAACTCAAAATAGTTTTAACGCATCAGACCTGGTGCATCACTGTCTATGAGTGACTTGGCTTTGTGAGTAACTTAGTCTAAAGTAAAATTAGGACCTAACTTATTGAACTTGTACAGATTCACACCGGAATAGCCTGACAACGGTAAAGTCAGATACCGCTGTCACAGATTTAGCGACGATAAAATCCCATGAAATGAGGACCAAGTGATTAAAGAGTTGAAGCGATGGTTAATCGGTTATGTCCGCCATTTGTGACAATGGTATCTGACTTTATCGTTGTCAGATATTCCGGTGTGAGACTGAGACTTGGGACTGCCACAAATGTTTCTTCTTTTTCTTATAAAGTAAAAGAAGAAATATGAATGGACATAAATTCATGTTTTAAAATTTGATTGGATGTGATTATTACAGTATTCAGGACTAAGTAAGGTAAAGTGCCTGAATAAATATGTTTGGTAAAATTTATTTGTTTCGACCATGGTATTGTTTGGAATATGTATTGTGGTGCATTGTAGAGATATGTGCACACATGTTTTTATATATTGTTTTTCTCCAGGCTAATGTTGTCCAGTACAGGCTGATTGTACGAGAAGTGAGCACATTACAGATTACCCAACTTTACACTTGTTTGGATGCTATCCAGAAAATAGAGGTTAGAAAAATATGTGCAATGATATTTTCTGTTTCTTTTCTATCTGTATTTGGAGAAAATAGTTACTAGATAAAGTATGGAAAATTATACAATGCTAGTAAGATAAACACTGAACACCTAAGGTTTTATTTTGAATTACGAGAAAACGTTTGAATGTTAATAGATATATTCTTACATTTCAGTGGTCTTCAGACTCCCTGTTTATACTATGTGGGATGTACAAAAGAGGACTTGTTCAGGTAACCAGCACGTCATACATGTATGACTTAAAAGCCTAGTTCATACAAGGCCTGTTGTAATGGCTCGCCTTATTTACAACAATTTATCTCAATTGATCAGATATCCACTTTTATCAAAGTATTAGTACCACTGTTCTCAACAGGAAATATCTAGGGTGTGGTGCTAACATCTTCAGAATAACCATTCAATCGTGATAAATCATATTTATGTTATATTTTATCCTTTTAACATGCTATTATTGTATATTCAGTCATGTTTAGACTGTGGAATAGAGTGTGGTGCTGCACCATAGTCTAAAAGCCTGGAGAGAGCCCTGAGTACCCAGCTTGAAAACCCATTCAATATTGTAAGAATTATTGTATATGATCTAGTGATGTTAAGACCAACCATACTGCATAAAGGTAGACATTGCCATGTATCTCTCAACTGTTTATGTAGGTTTGGTCATTGGAACAGCCAGAGTGGACATGTAAGATAGATGAAGGGTCAGCCGGTCTCACTGATGTAAGATGGAGTCCAGATGGAAGACATATTCTCGCAACAGCAGATTTTCAGGTATTATATTGCCCATTCTAAGATAGGCATACTAGTATTATACAAATCCTCTTATGATATCCTGTAATAAAACTATAAACAATGTCAGGGGCATAGCTACATATACACAGAATATGCAGCCGCATACTATTGTTAGCCATGACCCCCGTAGAATAACACCTAGAATCGCTCAAAACATGCCATATACAACTACATTAACATGGCGATACATCTATAAGAAATTGTAACATATAATACACATAAGAAAAATAATGTAGTGACATTAAGTTTACTTCATGATTCATATACTTTCAGCTTCGTGTGACTGTTTGGTCTCTCATCAATAAATCTGTGTCTTACATCAAATATCCAAAGCAGTGTGGAGAGAATGGTATGTATACTTGACTTAGTGGTATTATATTCAGACTGTGTTGTATTCTGATAAGTAAATATATACAGTAGGGTATTGGTCAGGTGATATATTTCAATGAACTATATTTTTCATGTTTCAAGATAAACTTAACTGTAGTATAACACCCTGAAGCCGCAAACGGTGCAATCAAGATGAAGAGTCGAGACCTGTACTATTTAGCAATTCTTATTATCTGAGTGTCAGCGCCTAGCATCTAGTATTTAATATTCATGTATTTTAGGAATGGACTTCAGCAGAGGAGGGAAGTATATGGCTCTAGCAGAGAGAAGAGAATGTAAAGACTTTATCAGTGTATTTGCATGTAATACATGGCAGTTAGTTAAGGTAAATACATTTTTGCACAATACATTGAAATTGGATTAAAATGATGCATCATATCCATTCCATCGAAGGAAGATGTACAGACCCCTCTCCAGATAATCAAATACATGTCAAACTCAAGTACATGTGGTATGATTTCCTTCACATTTAATGTTCTACAGGCTATTTTGATTTGAACTTTTCCTATATTTGGTGGCTACCAGTTTCAAAAAGGAGTTCAGTGTTTCCTTATTACTAATTATCGTATAACTTCAAGAAATGGGATGATTTAGTTGATATTTTTCTGTTGTATAGATCATATTAAAATAACATTAAAAGTGAACAAGGAAATAAAATTGGGAAAATCAGTATCTAAATAAATGTATGTTGTATTATTGTTGTAGCACTTTGAGACTTCTACAGAAGATTTAGCTGGTGTCAAGTGGTCTCCTGATGGCAAAGTGCTATGTGTCTGGGACTCTTGTTTACAGGTTAGTGTATACATTTTTGTAGATGAGCATTTGATTAAAGCATGTGTATAGGTGAGGATTTGAATTATTGAAGGTGAACATGTTTCAAAGTGAGCTTTTGCAAATTCGAATTAAGAATGCTATATAAATAAATATATGCAAATTTCAAGATTTGAAAAATGTATGTTACCAACAAAAATTTGAGACCTTCATCTACAACTTGTGAAAATATGAAAGGATTCCTGCAGGAAATAAGTTCACTTTTTTGGACCACCCTGTATTGCTTAACAATGTACGTGTGTGACAACTAACATTTTATTTGAAAGAAATTCACAATTTTTTAACAAAAAGTCCTTAAATGCCCCATGTAAACTTTGCTAGGTATTTTATAGATTTTTAAGAAAAAAAAAGTTATGAAAAAAAGTTGTCAGCTTTTTGTTTCTCAAATATTCAAATTTCCCGCCACTTTTCAAATAAAAGTTGAATTTTTTTAATCATCAAATATTTCACTACATTGAAAATACATTTTAATTTTGGTTTCTATGCCAAGCTTTTCTAAATATACTAAACTTCATAAAACTTTATAAAATAAAATTGGTTTCTATGACAACTAAAAATTTTGAAGTGCATTTTTCTCTGTACCACTTTCATGCGTGCAAGAGTTCATTTCTCGCTTATTTATCAAATAATTTTCTTAATTATTTTCCAAAATATGGGAGGATGAATGCTATGTATTGGTGTGAAGTATATGGTGTAAGATACATATGCTCTGTAAAATGTTGTTTAAATAAATTCATGAATCTTTTAAGCAAAATGTCCTTCAAAACCACTTTTTGAAATTAAAAAAAAAGTTTCACATATCACAGTTGGTAACACTGGGTAAGATTACAAAATAAATATATATTTAGAGTTAAACATGCTTACAGTTGAGCATTTGAGTGTTTCAAGGTGAGCTTTTTTATTGATGAGCATTTAAATGTTTGAAATTGAGCTTGCTTGGTGAGTATTTGAATGTTTCATGGTGAGTATGTTTAAAAATGAACATTGGAATGTTTAGAGGTAAATTTGTTTATTGGTTGCCATTTGAATGTTTAAGATGAGCATTTTTTTTTTTATTGTTGAGCACTTTTATATTAAAAGATGAGCATGTTTGTCAGGCTGTTGAAATGTTTAAAGGATTGAAGGCCCAAAATGAAAAAAGGTTTGCCCTTCCCCATGTCTGCCAGTGAGTTTTGGATTAGATCATCCCAGGACATATAATAGTAAACATTAGTAGTAAATTGTAGTAGCTGATAGTATGTTAGCAACTAATTGCCTTTCCAGGAAGCTTCATCCAATGAAATTCATGAATGAGAAAGTAGTCCCGGTTTATATATTAACCTTTACCCTTATGTATTACCCTGGAGTTGGGAGAACTTTTGCGGTTAAACTACTAGGGTTTGACCACAACTTGTCATAGAAGATAAGCAAACTATATTAAGCACAGATTAAAAACCCATTTGCAAAATATTTTAAAACATTCAAGCTATATATTATACTACATGTATATACTATTTATTTATCCCAAATGTACTTTTCAATAAATGAATTATTTCTTATTCAGTGGTTAAAGTGGATATGTCTGGGCAAGATGTGAATATGAACAGTTGTAATAAGTAGAATCTAAACAGTGATTAATAGGTCTAACAGTGGGATCCTTTGAAATCTGGTGTAGTGTTACCAATAAAGAGGTTCACTTGTGATTATCAAGTTTACTGACAGATTTGACTGTGGGCAATGTTAGGAAGTCTTAGCCCTTCCTTAAAATGACAAATATCAATATCTGAATTTAAAATCTTTTCCCAGCAAAATGTAAACTAAAAAACAAAATCTCCAACAAATTTCTTAACAAGAGATAAAATATAATTTTTTTCCGTGTAAGTTCTTAGTTCTACTTTAATCTATTGCAGGTGCCAAAAAGCTTGCATTCCATTGAAAATACAAATAACATATGATACTCAGTTACATTTGTTCTTAAGATGCTAAAAACTACTTTTAAAAACATTGATTATTCACTATTATGTGAGAATAAATTTTACATTTGCCACTTGATGGTAGTTAGTATATTATATAGCCAGTTCAGCGTGACATCAAATATCCAATATCTAAAAAATCTGTCCCGCGAGAAAATCTTTGGGGGTTGACAGTACTGGTATTGAAAAAGAAAGGGCCTATAAGGAACAAAGATATAAAGACTGATAAAATTCAATCTCCAATTAATGACAATGAATTAATGATAATGATCATGAAGATCTAATCTAAGAGATTTAAACAGCCAACCACCCTGCCAACCTTTTATGCTCAAGTAAAAGTGTAATTATAAATCCCTCTAGATATAAAAATATATTACTGTATTGGCAAAATGCAAAGGGATGGATCATTGGCAAAACGCAACACCTAACTGAAAAAACTTTCACACATAACTAGGCAAGGGGTGTCCGATTCCAGCCAATCTGAACACAGTATTTCATATAAATTTATATAAATATATATTTTGCGGGGTCATGCAAAGATTTGAAAACACCTTCAGAGAAATTATTCAGTCCACAATGCAATGTTCACGGCTTAAATCCTTAAATATATTGTTATGATTATAATGATATGTATTTTTATTTGTTTTTTTTCAGTATAAGGTTTTGTTGTATTCAGTAGATGGTCGCTGTTTATCAACTTACAGTGCTTACGACCATGCTCTGGGCATTAAGACAGTCAGCTGGTCTCCAACAAGTCAATTCCTGGCTCTTGGTAGCTATGACCAAAAGGCAAGTAAAATATTATCCCTCTTCTGAATGCTGTTTCAGAATATTTCAATTTTGTTAATAATCATTTTCTCATAATGTCACAAATGGTGAGCTTTTTGTTGATGGTATACGGAGTTTGGTGTTTGGCATTTGGTGGTTGATGCTTGGCATTCGGTGGCTGGTGTTTTGGCAGTTGGCATCTGTAACAAATGGCAGGTGGTAACATATTGCATGTTAGTGCCTTGTCTATCCATGTTTTGAATACAGATACACCTAGCTTAGATTTTATTTATTAATATTGTATTGGATTGAATCAATCAATTATCATCTAAATAAGATAACTTAATTGTATTTTTACTGATGTTTTGATTACATTCAGGTGCGCATTCTTAACCACATTACATGGCAAACTGTGGCTGAACATCTTCATGTTACAACTCTAGATAACCCTAATGTGGTAAGTGTAAAATAGATCACTGTCACAGTGCGACATCATTCAAGGATTTAAGCCTTGTGCATTGTGGACTGATCATTCCTCAAAAAGGTCTTGTTTCAACCTTTGAACATAATTCGCAGAATCGAGTGGTAATTTTAGGAAACAACACCTGAGTGGAATGAAGCAGCCACAATGCATTGAGTCTTGGGCTTAAATTGTTTCCACACATTGCAAAATATTTTCTATGAAATCACTTAAAAGATACTAAATCACTTAAAATTATTATTAAATTACTAAATTAAATGTGCTCATTTATTTGCTCTAATTAATATACTGATATCTTATTTAATGAACAGGTAGTAAAGCTCATATTCAATCATCCCATCCTTGTCTTATTTTGTTTTCAGATTGTTTATAAAGAGGTTGAAAAGAGGGTGCCACTAGGTAGGGAACAACGATCTCCATCAAGCTTATTCAGCACTCCAAGTAAATGTAAGTATTCATTTGAAAAATATTGTAAGTTAATGTTATATGATGTTATGCTTGTCTCTGGCCACCAAGCTGGTTGCAAAATGTTCAAGAAAAAAGGGCCTTGGCTGTGCTAAAATCACTGGCGGATCCAGGGGGGGGGGTGTCTTTATAATGGGCCACCCTTTGTTAGCTTCTGGATCCGAAAACATTACACAATATATATCCATGTAATGAGATTTTAAACCGTTTTTATTAGAATTAAAGATAGTTCATTTTGTGAAAATTGTAATGCAATTGACATGACAATGTTAAGCATAAGTTTTATGAGTGTACAAGAGATATATGGAAATTTTTGAGAACATCACTTTTGAACAAATTATAGGAATAAATAAGAATAAAAATCATAAAGAAGTTTTAATAGCCAGGGGGGCAATACAAATTTTTAATAGAGACAAAACTGGCAGTATACATGCATATTTTGAAAAAGAAAAACTGTATAGAAATTAAACAATGTAACTAGGCCTATGTATAATTGTATATATGTTTTATTCTTGAAATAAAGTTAAAAAATAGCTTCTGATCTGCCAGTGACAATGTTATACTATCTCAAAGAAATTTTGCAAATACTTGATTTAAGGCATATACAAATACATCAAGAACCCCTTGTATTATTTTGGAATTTTTTCTCATTTAAAACATTTGTAAATCCTGAGTTTTGATCTAATGTTTGTTTATATTTTCTTAGATGAGGTGATTGAGGGAAGTGTCCAAATACCAGTTATCAAAGTAGATTTCAACAAAGCTAATCCCAAAGTTGGAGTTGGTTCTCTTGCATTTAGTGCAGATAACAGATACCTTTACACTAGAAATGGTAGGTTCAGTGTTAGATTAAGATACCCTAATGTAAATGGTTAATTGGTAACTATTCATAATTATCAGTCACTTTACAAAATCAAAATATTGCATAGTCTATACATGTACATGTACTGATATTAGCTTCAGTTTCTTACAAAATGACCAATACTTCTATCCTTCTAAGAAGGTAAAACCTTTACAATGATATTTCATTTCACTTTTATTTATGGCATATATTGATTATAAATTCTTTATATTGAACTATAGATAACATGCCACATACACTGTGGATATGGGATATCCAGAATCTCTGCCTGAATGTGATGATAATACAGAACAGCCCCATAAAATGTGAGTACAGGAAAAGATCTTCCATATTATGACATACTAATAAGTGCAGTTAAATATACTTTATGATAAATTAATCACCTGTTTTTGCTTGTAAATCCATGTTTTCAAAATGCCACTTCCATGATATACATATGTGTGCTGAATGAGGGCCAGCCTATTAACTAGGCTAGTCATGTATAAAGAGTATTTTTCACATTTCTTACTCATGGCATCATGACATCTTTATTGAATGAATTATTTCCATATCGGCAGGTGTTCAGTGGGACCCCAAACAGACCAGGCTAGCCATGTGCACTGGAAACAACAAGATCTATATGTGGTCCAGGGCTGGTTGTCTTTCTGTGGAAATTCCAACTGAAGGTAAGAGATCACTTAATTCCACTCTGGATAACAAGTAATCCATTAGAAAGAAATTCCCATTTTTTAATAGATACACACTGATCGTCTTTGTGATTCTCTATTTTTACTGTTTTGAATTATAGCTTTATTCTATGTGACAAATATCAATTATTTTCTTTGAAAGCAATGAAATATGTGGGGTGATCATAGAGTTCTCATCCCTCTATTTCCAATTACGTATACAGTAAAACCTGTCCGATGGAATACCTCTCTGTAGGGAAAACCTATGAACAAGGAATGCTTTTCAAAAGAACCGAATATTTTGCCATTGACTTACATGTTAAGGGACCCTCTCTGTAGGGAAAACCTCTGAACAGGGAACAAGGAACACTATTTTTGGGCAATTATGAAAATTCACCTGTGAACAAGGAATATGGAATTTTCGTGACACTGCATATTCCATTATTTTTCAGAGGTGTGAAAGTCTTAAGCCAATATTTGAATATAAAAAGCTTGGATTAATATGATTGAGATTAAGATAAGCCAATTGTTGACATGATGTAGCATCCCACCCACTGTTATTTACCCCGATATATTTTAAAACTAATGCTAATCTGTTTGTTACTTATTATCATGACACCAATTCTTCCTTTCAAAAACCTAATTACATCAAATCAGTTGTGATAATCTAGGGACTCAGGGACTGACACAATTGTTTTATGGAGTTAACAGATAGTAAGTACATGATCATGTTGAGCCAAATCTCTTTAAATCTTTTACTGATCCAACTTCTAGATTATCAATACTTGAAATTCAGTTCTTAGCAATATATCTCTACACATCATATCAATGATTACATCAACTAGACATCATCACACGCTAGAAGCAGCTAAAATCAACATGAGGAGAACGTAACCAAGTATGGAGTCGGCATTTGTACATTTAATCAATATATATACAAATATGCTTATTCGGCAATTTTGAGTTTGCTGAAAGTGCGGCCCCTCTCTATAGGGAAAACCTCTGAACAAGGAAACTTTCCTCCGGTCCCAAGAGCATTCCCTGTTCGCAGGTTTTACTGTATTTCAATATTCGAGTACATCCTATTGAAATAAAAAAACATTTCTGTGATATATTTTTATTTGAACATCTGTATTTAGTTCTTTCCACATAATTAAGATATTGTCTCAACTTGCAGGTACATTCCATGTCCACTCCCTGAAGTGGCACCAAGATGAGAACACACTCTTACTGCTGGGGAAGGATCAGATGTGTGTATGTTTTCTAAGGGACACTGAAAATACTGAACACTGAAAACTGTTTAGATTTTTAAAAAATTAAGTAAAAACTGCTGATTCTAGTACACCTGGAGCTTCTTGCAGTTTTTGATATTCATTGGGCCTCAATTGCTGATTCTGATATACATTGGGCCTCAATTGCAAAGATTATGATATACATTGGGCCTTTGATTGCAGGTTCTTATGTACATTGGGCCTCGATTCCGCAGATTATCATATACACTGGGCCTCAATTGCAAACTCATGTTGGCCTCAATTGTGTAATATGATATATATGGGCCTCAGTTGTAGATTATAATATACATTGGGCCTCAATTGCAGATTTAGATATACATTGGGCCTCAATTGCAGATTGTGATGTACATTTGGGCCTCAATTGCAAATTGAGATTCTGGTATGCTTAGAAAGCCTCAAAATAAATCTTGGAGCAAATTAGGCATCACGAGCATGTGAATGATCTCATGATAACTGAAGAACAAATTCAAACAATATTCAGTCTTGCATACATTACACAGTTGATGATGGACCAGATTATTTCCAAGTTCATTTCCCTCAGTGTCTTATATCAATTATAGTTATTTTGAAATAAGTATTCCATAACTTGGAATCTAAATGTACTTACAGTACACAGTTTTTCATTATATTTGAGTTTTATGTAATTTATTTTTTTGATGCATGATGTTGCTTTGTTGCAAATAGTGATTCACATTCACTCATCATTGATATTCTAGAATTCAAAGATGTTTAATCCATTATCATGATTATAGATAATAGAAAATTATTTTTGAAATGATTGCCAAATATTTTCATTTTGTGTCGTTATGTGTGCACTCTCCCTTTTATAATAGTGCACTGTTGTAGACTTGTATGTCATATTTTGATGCAGTTGTAAATAAAAGAAATATATGAATATTTACGTGACTTTTGAGTTGACACATATGAATTGATGAAAAGAATAGTAGTAAGATGAATAAGTTATCTGTCAGGCTTTAGAGAAACATTTGAAGCAGGCTTTTAATGAAGTGGGTTATTCACTGAAACAGACTATTCATTATTATTATTAATATGTGATCACCTTTGAGCCTTAATTAGTCAAAGTAATATATTGACTATTGACAGATTGACAAGTCGTAATATTTTGATGATATACTGGATGTCCTGACATATTGACTTCAACTAATAGTATTTAAAATGTGGGATTCTATATTGAAAAAATGCTCCTGCTATGCCTCAAATACACACAACTAGAACTTTAACAAATGGCATTTATTTACAGCATTAGGTTATTGTACAAAATATTACAATGATATATGTTCACCGGAGATTATCATCTGGATTTGTCTGCAGTATTAGTGACATCATTCTTGAATAAAACACCCAGAGGCTACAATACAATATGCATTTAAATCAATTATCATACTAATGTTTCTCATTATGTGATAACCTGAACACTTGTCAAAGCATATATAAATATTCTGTGATATTTTCATGTGTTGCAGTTGATTGCTGTTCATAAGCACTGGCGGATTAAGGGGGGGGGGGGGGGGGGGGGGGGCCGGGTGCGCCCCAAAATTTTTTTGAGCCAAACAAGGCCTTCAGGCCCCAAAAAGTGGGCCTTTTTGGTCATTACTGGGCCTTTTAAGGCCTTATTTTTTAATTTCAGGCCAAATTTTGAAGAAAATTTCAAAATTTGGGCCCACTTATGGATGTTAGGGGCCCAAAAATGTTTTCCGCGCAAGCGCGGACAATTTTTTCCCTGACCTGAAATTTGGGCCCCCCCCCCTTGTTGGTTCTTAGATCCGCCCCTGATAAGCGAGCTTCGTTTTGAAGAACAAATATTACCTGCAGTCTATTTATATATGATAAGTAATAAGTTGCAATAAGTAATAATGTGTGATATATAGGAGTGAATTTTTCAGGATTACGATAAATGAACATCACAAAAAAGCGTTTTCATTTAATAAAGCACTTACAATAGTACATTCATACAGAAGATGACAAATCGTTTCAGGATTTGCTTTACAAAAAGTGCAAATGTTTGACTCTATGAGTCCACAATTTTTAAGTATGTATTAGTTGCTAAAAATCTATGAAGGACTTTGTAATTGAAGGATGATAACTTTGGTTCATAGTTACTCAGTTTGTTAAGTTTATTTATTTTCTTCCAATCATTTTGATTGATTCACAGTTAAGTTAGTCATAATTTCTTTGTTTCTCTAAATTGGAAGAGCAATCATATTCAAACAACTAAGAGGCCTCAACTATACTAGAATTAAGGGATCACAAGCACCACTACATGTAGTTCATGATTCTATAGAAAGTAACAAATGTTTTTAGTTGTAGCATGGGCTTTCAAGAGATATGTTGCATGACATTGTAAGATATCATGCTTCAGTCATATCCATGATGTCAGACTTCCTGATGTTTAAACTAATATTCTCCCTTGCTTAAATTCTAAGAAGTTTGGAGGCTCTTTGTTTTAGAAAAGTTGATTATATGAATATGCTCACCACTGCCACTACTTATTGAGAAGTACACTCACTGCTTTCCGACACTTCTGTGTTATGGTAGGGGAGATTGTCTCATTAAATGGAATGCAACAACGAGGCCATATTCCAATGGTTCTGGCATGGTAGCTGGAAAAGAATTATTAACTCTTTATTATAGTCATGTGTTTTATGCATTTGATAGCTTTTCTGTTTTTCTCATCTCTGGACAGTTGGTTTTTTTCAATTCAATTCACTTTATTTCAAATGTTTCAAATACAGTATTTTACATTGACATGAAAAGACACCCAATAGTAGGTGAACTTAAAATAGTACCATTGGTCGAAATCTCATTAGACATTTGAGGATCCAATGCGTTGCATTTTTTAGTCCTATCGTTATTGGACTTCAAACAGAAGTGAAGGTTACCCTCATATGATATACGCATTGCGTGGAGTACGTAATTTTGTTTGGTATAACTCAACACGTCAAAAGTTAAATAATTTGTGAAGCTATAATAGTGAAAAGTAATGCTCCACACAGCGGACAAATCTTTCGATCACACCCTGTGAGTGTTATTGTTTACTTACAAGCACCAAGCACTTGGTGTCTCACACAGGAGAACTTCAAATGATGCTGTGCAGTTCAGAATCTTTTCTTTCTGAATTTCTGTGAGATTTGATGTGATGTCATATGCTTCAATGTTGAATCTTTCAGCCAGATTCTTTCTTTTAACTGCCTGTGAGTCTTGAATGGCCATAAAAACAATCAGGGTACTTAGTAGTATCTTCATTGACTCAATCATATCTTTTATGATGTTGGGTGCTAAAATAAATAAGTATTATCATATTTAAAATAATTATTTTTTTTCATAGCAATGAAGTCGCATGTCAGATAACGTTTTTCGCAATCAATTTTTCGTCAGTTGCCATTTTGTCAAATATGGAAAATAAATTGTGACTGAGGTATATTAGGGCCTTTAAAATGAAAATGTACACATTGTTTATCCATTTTTACTCAATAAACACCTATTATCAAAAAGCAGACAAACATAATATGTTATTTTTCTAAATTCACCCTTTCTGCTATCTCATATCTCATCGGTGACGCAGAGAAGCCTTTGAAAATTGACGGTATCAATATTGTCTTTGACATCTTCTTTGAATTAATCGCATGCTATTATTATTTAGTGAATGTAGTACATATTCTTGTGAGTTAAAATGATTATCACACTCTGCATTTGAGGATAATACGCCAAAATCTAACATTTTAGTACTTTTTAATACAATATAACCGGATTTTAGGATAACGGATAAATGAGGACCGTTATTATTCAATCACGTGTTAAATATACGAAAGCAAATGCAAATGATTATCAGAACATCAGAAATCAGAAAATGAACATCAGAAATTCTTATGCAATTGGTTAATTTGGCATTGGAGAAAATCGGTTTTTCATTTAAAAAATCAGGTCTTTTTTCCAATATGAATAAAGCAAATATTCAAAATTATGATTACAAATTCTAAAAAATTATGCCCACTATATTTAGTATTAAATGCCATATAAATAGCTGTATAACTTTCCATTTATCTAAAAAAGCACTGATTTAATGTTACCGGTCAATCATCATTTCTTACCTTCGCCTATTATCGAATGTTTTCTAATCTGGTTACCCGGATTATCTTGTTTTATACAGGGCTGTCAAAATTCTGTCATATCCTGTGATATAAAATAGTTAGTAGATGAAATATTGATAAATAATAATTCTAGAAAACTGTAAAGTTTGACAGCATGGCAACAGAATAATTGACAGCAAACATAAATTGATAATCAAAAAATTCTTAATTCAAATATCTTTGTCATAGTTACACTATTCTTTGACTTACCGCATCCACATTAGTTGCTATCCAATTTGTGCATTTATCCCGTTATTTTACTATAACTTTATAATTTTTTCCTGTTTACTTACTGCAAATATCCTGCAAGTTCCCAATATTTATTTGCAAACACAATAACATTTACTTATACTTGATTGACTTGCACAGTACCAGGTATTATTTTCTACAATTGATTCATATTTAGATTCACACCCCATGATTGATTACATAGTGAGGAATTAAATCTACAATGGACAGCCAAGCATAAAATCAATTGTTCCAATGTTAAGTAGGAATATAATTTCTAAATTTTACATTTCAATGATTGTTGAGTGGATCCTCTTTAGGGATGAATGTTTTTGTAAAGAATGTTCACTAATATTTACAATATGTCATTGTTGCTGATTTATTTGTAACCAACTTATTGTTTTTACATTTGAAGTATTATATTTACGTAGGCGTTTCTGTCACAAGATATATATTTGGGTTATATTTATTTTGAATAACTAATGACAATCTGGTTTTCTTTGGAGCTTAACGTATAGATATATGCTCACTGACAGGTATTTATAAATTTTTTAACAAAAATAAACACTTTACTTTAAAAACATTACATTTATTTATTTTCATTTATATGCATTTGCATTTTACTAGCATTATTTAATTGTTATGTTCATTTTGTTTGGTATTAAAATGAAATTGTAATTATGATAGCAATAAAAGGTCTTAAAAGTTTTATAAATGTTTAGATTATATTATATGTTCCCAAAACATAGTGTGGGGTATACAAGCTTCAACTATTTTACTTGTACTTGGTTTGCCGAAATCGAAGATTTATCGACATCGAACCGCGAATATTGTCCAAAAGTTGGGGGAATCTAGATCTGATAATGGGGTGGGTTGATGGTGTGGTCTGTGGTCTGGTGTGGTCGTGTACTTTTACCCTGAAATTATCATTATGCATCCAGGAAAACCAAATAAATTTCACTACAAGTTCGAGATATTGATGTTTATGTAGATTTAGGCACGATACCTCAAATAACATATTCATCATTATACAGACCGTGCTTTACGAAAATAAGCGGTGTGGATATCATGTGCGAACGGTGTGGACTTTAAGGCCTCCTCACATACAGTATGAACGAATCCACTAAACGCAGCCTTGCGAATTCGGTAAATTGTCCATTATAATTAAGGCGATTGGGGACTTGCGAACCGAAGCGTAACTTATCGCAAGTTTCCGAAGCCGTCCGAAGTGTACTCCCGCATACATACGCCCCAACGATGTACAGTCAGCGTACTAATGGGATCTATCATTAGCCAGTACACGCAAGTTGACGTCGGGGGTTCCGTTCATGTGTGAAGAGGCCTTTAAAGGTTACTTTAAAATTTGAATTCGTGATATTTCACAAATTAAGGTATGTTTGTAACTCAACTACATTTGAACATGTGTACAGGTTCCCCAATAAAAAGGAAATTGTGAGGATGCGCACATGATATCCACATCGCTTGTTTACGTTCAGCACAGTCTGCATAGGGTGATATTGTACATTTTGTGTCCTGTAATGTGTTAATTTACATTCAGCTTTTCATGCACACGGAATCGTTTTTCTAAAATATCACTTTTTAACAGAGAGTTTACAAACAAAATCTTACTAGATCTAAGATTTCCCAAAAGTTCACCAAAGGGCCAAGGTAAATTATTTATTCCCATATTAATATACACATCAATGCTGATAAAGTAAAAATATCAGATCAACGTAGTAGTAGTAAATCAAATCTGAAGCTGGTTTGTGAACTCAATAACAATTGGGAAAGGGAGAAGCTGTTAATCATAAATTGTTATTCTTCTCTGTTGTATTTGTAGAAGGAATTGTTACTGCGATGGCAACTGTTACAATATTGTTCGGTTTATTCGTATCACTAGCGTTGATGTTGTCAGGAGTGTCAGCCACATATGGAGCCTGTGACTATGAAATGACTGCATACACTTCAGCATGCTTGTAAGTGTATATGATAATCAATGCCATCTTATATGGTATATCATGTCTATGAGTGCTGCTTCTGATATTTAGACAGGACAGGTGAATACTGCTGATATTGATACGAATGGTTTCAGGCCCGTAGACAGCTTTTGACAAAGGGGTCACTTTTCAAAAAATCCAGGGGGTTCGCATTTGACAACTTGGGGCCAAAATCACTTGCAAAGCAGTGCCCAGAATGGTAAAAAACTGTATGACTTCCCAAACCCCGTATATACTATAGAAATACCCTATGGGTTTGAAAAAATGTCATTCACACCCATTAGTGGATATCTTCAATCTTGTACAGCGAATGAGTCCATAAGAGATTGGAAAATCGAAACCATCGAATATCACTTTTTAAGAAATGATATTCGAATCGTTTACCTCTAAAATGTTACACTTGCTACACATATCAATTTGTATTCTCCCACCCATTCCTTTCACGAAAATCATATTAACTTCCCGGGCCCTCGGAAAATATCATGCTGTCCATAGGAATAAAACCCATATTCAATCTCACCCAGTAAATAACCTGTTTATCTTGTACTCAAATGGGTGGACTTTTTCACAAGTCGCACATGATTTCATTGTTTTTAATGACTACGTGCTTTTTGTTTTTTTGCAGTTTTGATGCGCTTTTGACAGGTCAAATGCCTAGTGGATGTCCAATGTGTAATTCAGGACCAGGGCCCGTATAGACTTTTAAATATTTGGAATGCTCATATGAAAATATGAAAAAGAGCAATTTTATAAGAACATTGAACATCAGTGGACTTGAAGGACTTAAGTAAATAATGCCTGAACTTTCTTCCTGAAGTTCTTTCTGAAGTACGTTTATGCTATTGTTACAACATGATCTAGCCCAATGATGCTTTGATACTGAAAATACTGACCGAGAAGTCTTGATAATGGGAACTATGCTACTACATGTATAATACCAAATTGCGATTCTCATGATAACCAATGGGAATCTGAAATTCATTTGATTGATAAATAATGCTGCATTTAATTAAATAATTTCCTAAAAAGTGTCAAATTGTCACACAAAAATGTATCTTGGTGTAATTGTGTGTATAATTGAGCACATCGAAAAGTTATGTAATCCTATTAAATACATGCTAATCTCAATATACCAGTAGATAATAATCAAGATTCTAAAGACCTTCCATTAAGGTTTTATGTCCTGTTGCAGAACCCCTGTTTTCAATATAACAGAAATATGGGCAGTCCTTGATTTATTTCCAATCATCGGTTTTATTTTTGCCATAATCAGGTCAATCGATTTGAGTGTGTTAAAGTTATTGAGGGTGTTAGCAAGGGCCTATTTTTAAATTTATTTTGATACATAATATAATTTGTTTCAAAGAAATCTACCCGAGGAATTCACTTTTGATTTTAGAAATGCAGCACCATGCCAAAAAACGTAACTGAGTTATTTTTAGCTGATTGTATGTTTTAAACACTTTCCCGATAATCGTCCCTTGCTCAAATCCCCCATAATCAAAAAGCTCCAATCAATTTGCTTTAAGAACAGGAACCAGTAGAGCAATATCACATGTAAAGGTTCCAAGTAATACAAATTATGGTTCTTCAACAGGACATATTTCTGGATTTTTAGGTTTTGGTTATTACTATATATATGTAAGTTTGGACAATATGGCTAATGCGCAGGGATCCGAAAGGAAATACTTCTGGCCATTGTCGCTCAGAATTTAACTCGGCGATTCGTCTTCTGGATACATTTTAGTGCATAGTTTGAAACAAAAAATAATATTTTTCTAATGAGATATATTTGGAAGTGAATGAATCAAGGTTTCATGTCAGGTATGGTATTTAGTTTCTCCAGTGAGAATTTCAATACATTATAATATGATCAAGATACTCAAACGTGTACTCATCGGAATTTTCCGGGGTTCTTGTATTTTAACCGTAAACGTGCATTTAAATAAAGTCATTCCACTCTTCCCTTTGTAATATAAGTATCACAAATATATATTAAACGTAAATATTTAAACAAAACATATACACGTATATACAACAAATGGCAATTATTTACGTAGGACTATTGTACATATTTATACATTTTAGCTAATAAATAATATATTACAAATAATGCTATGAATATATTCTGTTAAAGGACCAGTGCACAAATAGTGTTATTTCAATCATGAATAATGATCAAATGGCAATGATATATATCACCACCAAGATGTAGTTACGTATTCGTTTTCCATGTCTGTAAAATTCAAACTCATTTCAGGGTGGTAACTTTTTTGTTAACAATATACTGATCTTGGCATCCACGTTTTATGCATCACTTACAGATTCTATAAGGTTGATTTTATCACCAACCAGTTCCCATTGATTGATTTCACATGACTGCTTAGCAACTGATCAATTTCCACTTGTGTGCATTGTGCTACATTACTGATCAATTTCCACTTATGTGCATTGTGCTGCATTACTGGTCAATTTCCAAATGTATGCATTGTGCTGCATTACTGGTCAGTTTCCACTTGTGTGCATTGTGCTGCATTACTGGTCAGTTTCCACTTGTTTGCATTGTGCTGCATTACTGGTCAGTTTCCACGTGTGTGCATTGTACTGCATTACTGGTCAATTTCCAAATGTATGCATTGTGCTGCATTACTGGTCAGTTTCCACTTGCGTGCATTGTGCTGCATTACTGGTCAGTTTCCACTTGTTTGCATTGTGCTGCATTACTGGTCAGTTTCCACGTGTGTGCATTGTACTGCATTACTGATCAATTTCCACTTGTGTGGATTGTGCTGCATTATTGATCAATTTCCACTTGTGTGGATTGTGCTGCGTTACTGATCAATTTCCACTTGGGTGCTTTGTGCTGCATTACTGGTCAATTTCCACTTGGGTGCATTGTGCTGCATTACTGATCAATTTCCACATGTTTGCATTGTGCTGCATTACTGGTCAGTTTCCAAATGTATGCATTGTGCTGCATTACTGGTCAGTTTCCACTTGTGTGCATTGTGCTGCATTACTGGTCAGTTTCCACTTGTGTGCATTGTGCTGTATTACTGATCAATTTCCACGTGTGTGCATTGTGCTGCATTACTGATCAATTTCCACGTGTGTGCATTGTGCTGCATTACTGATCAATTTCCACTTGTGTGCATTGTGCTGCATTACTGATCAATTTCCACTTGTGTGCATTGTGCTGCATTACTGGTCAATTTCCACGTGTGTGCATTGTGCTGCATTACTGATCAATTTCCACTTGTGTGCATTGTGCTGCATTACTGATCAATTTCCACTTGTGTGCATTGTGCTGCATTACTGATCAATTTCCACGTGTGTGCATTGTGCTGCATTACTGATCAATTTCCACTTGTGTGCATTGTGCTGCATTACTGGTCAATTTCCACTTGTGTGCATTGTGCTGCATTACTGGTCAGTTTCCACGTGTGTGCATTGTGCTGCATTACTGGTCAATTTCCACTTGTGTGCATTGTGCTGCATTACTGGTCATTTTCCACTTGTGTGCATTGTGCTGCATCACCTGTGTGCTAAATCATTTGGTCAATTTGATATGCATCCTGCACCATTGATAGATACTACAATGCGCTAAATCACTGATAATCTTTCACATGTGTGACGAATCAGCGATTGACTCTGTTCCTGTATTGGCAGATTTGAGGCTGAAAGAACTGCGATCTCGATCAGTGTAAGGTCCATCAATATGCTTTCCACATGAAATTATATGGAGAAATCCTCTTCTGAACTGTCTGGAATCACGCATTATTATTCTATATATTAATTATTTGTTAAATAATTATTTATCATATTATCTATTATGTAGAAAATGAGGTTAAGAGCAGAAATATTTACTAGTTTACTAAATATTTTTAATTGTTTCGATATTTAAAAATAGAAAGTTTATAGCCAAGTCGTGTAATTTGATATATTCTTACTTCAACATGAAACAGTATATGATCGGATTCAGACAGCTATTGCTGTACGCCAAAGCTGCCATCGCTGTATTTAGGTGTTTCTTCACGTCCTGTGATAAAGCTATCTTGCCAAATACGTCACACACCGCTATCACTCTTACTGGAGCCCAACAAATAATGAATATGGCAACAACCATAATTAACATTTTGATGACCTAAAAAGAAAAATTATATCATAACAGAATTTTAGGCCCATTATAATTACCAGATACATATTCCAATATCCTAAGCCAAAGCCAATATATTTTATGTTGAAATAACTTAAACACCAATTTGCTGATGCTTTTGTTATTTAAAGGGACTTGCCAGACCATTTGCCTCTTGATATGATAGCTGTAATCATATGTGTATTTAAAGCAAAGCAGGGGAACATGTTTTAATATGGTCAATACTGGTCATTTAGAAATGTAGTGTTCATTTCCTAAGCAAGTGTCCAGAGTCAAGTGTTCATGGAGTAGTAAATACCACTGAACAAAACATATTTTGATAATTAGTGGCCATCTTGAAAATTTCTTCTTGAACAAAGCATATGAGCATATAAAATTTGAACCAAATTTGTCCACTAGTATTTAAATTAGAAAAGATCATGTTTTCCGAAAAATGGCGGTCATTTTAAAATTCAGCTGCCATCTTGAAAATCTCTTTTTGGGCAGAGGCCCTTTGTCCTTATGTAGCAGCATACACAATTTGAACCAAGTCTGCGTACTGGTATTTGATTTATCAGAGATTAGATTTTTAACGACAAATGGCGGCCATTTTGATAAATATTTTGAAGATGACTTCCTGAGGAGACCTCCCTTTTCTCTAAGCATCAGCATATATCCACTGGTATTTGATTTATCAAAGATTACGTTTTTTCTGAAAAATGGCATCCATTTTGAAATTCAGTGGCCGTCTTAAAATTTTACCTCCATCTTGAAAATCCCTTCTTTGGCAAAGCTATATATATATCTTTGGCAAAGCTATAAGACTAGAACCATACCCGTCTACTGGCATTTGAGTTATCAAAGATGAAAATGGCAGCCATTTTGAAATTCAGTGGCCATGTTGAATATGTCTTCTTTATCAGAGCTCCTTTGACCATTGGACTTTACAAATAAAATCAGAACCAAATCAGTCAATTGGCATTTGAGTTATCAAAGATTATCTTCCTTTACGAAAAATGGCGGCCAATTTGAAATTCAGGCGCTATCTTGAAAAAATCTTTCTCGAAGAGAGCTACAGTGTCTCTAGGCATTATACATTTGAACAAAATCCGCTCACTGGTACCTCAGATTACTTGTTGTTTTTCAGGAAAAGCCGTGGCCATTTTGAAATTCAGCCGCCATCTTGAAAATTCATATTTGAACAGAGTTACTGTGTTCCTAGTCATCAGCATATGAAATTTGATCCAAATCCGTCTTGAGTTATCAAAGAACCAAATCGTTATATAGTTTAGTTTATTTATTTATTTATAGTGGTCAGTTTTACAATTCAACTATAAAATATAAAAATTAATTACAATTTTACCCAGCCCACCTTAAGCTTATTAACCACTGTTAACAATAGGATATAGTACAAAATTAATACACGAAAATCAATGATCATAGGTTACTTGCAGGTTATAATAAGCGTACAGGTTAAACTTACTTGTATTCTTCCATTTATATCTTCCTGTTGTTTGTAGTTAGTCTGCACCCTTCCATTACCTTGTCCAGCTTCACTGTTTAAACATAACTTTAATTTTATTTCTAGTCATTTATTTATTTATTTATCTATTTATCATTAAGATACAAAATATGCAACATGTCTCAATACCCCAATGGCATATAAAAGAAGTATGCCATTTAAATTAATCATCATGTTTACAGAATTTTTTTTTATTTCTATATTATAAATGTCAACATGTAATAATTAAGTAGCATTACCCGGCTTCCTTCAATTTGTGTGCATTACTGATGCTCCACCACAACGTCTGTGTTGTCAAAGCATACATGGCTGACATTATCACTAGGGGGATGCACAATACCACCAAAAGCAGGTGCAGGCTAAAGAGCCTGGCATATATATCACTGGATACGTACAGGTCACATTGTGGGAGACCCCCAAAGTATTCTACTTCTGTCTAATAAAATAAATAGTTGCACTTATAAGAAACTTTAATCCTGGACATTTGAAATTCAATATCGGTCACCAAGGATCTCGTGTGATTTTAGTTCTAACAATAATTTATCTGTCAGAAAGGTAATAATGCGTTAGCCAATGTTGTTCCTCAGTTTGTCGTCCAGCATACTATTCTTATCTCTGTATAAAGAATACTAAGTTCAAGATAGAATATCAGAATTTAACTTACAATCACAAAGGCCGTAGGAACAGATATAACACCAGCACAAATCCACACCGCAAAAATAGCCTTGTAGCTATTTCGTATGGTACATAGGGTCTTGGCTTTAAATGGATGACATATTGCAATATATCTGTAATGAAAAATGCAAAGTAACTGAGGTTTGAAAGAAGCTTTTACA